GAAGAGAAGCGAGTGCCTTAGTGAGCTGGGAAAATCAACTGTAAAATTACTGCAGCTCGTAGGGGTCCTCCTGTACAGCACTGGGGCTCCGCTCCAATTGTGCTGGTTTTAATTCAGCAGCCTGTGAAATGAAGTGCATCAGAAGAGTAGTTTTTATGCACCTTTGTCAACTTCAAAAGGTTTTGTGTTGTTATTCGACTCATTTGTCAGGGGAAGTGACATTGATTAGACACTAGTTTTCTTGCACGTTGCTGGACTGATAGAAATCACCATCACATACAGGAGTGATAAAGGAAAACTCGGAAAAGCGACTGCTTCAGCTCCTGCCTATATCTGGACATCATTCTCTCTGCCATGTCTACACATCTGCCTTATCTACATCCAAAACAGTCTGGGCTATCCCATTTAAAAACCTGGAGTTCGTCAAATGTCTTTACTGCAGCTGTGGTCAGAACGCACCAAGGAGCCATTCAGATGTCCTTGAGAAGAAATTTAGAAGAACTGCAAAATACTCTTCAGTCTCTCAATGGGCTCAGTAAACAAGCACTTACCCCTCAGGGCTTCTGGGTCCCCCAGGATCCTGTTCAGGGTTTCTCGTGGGATCTTCTCAAAGGCTTCGTTGGTTGGAGCCAAGAGCGTGTACTGGCCTTTGCTCTCCAGCAAGCTGTTGAGGTCAGAAGCAGCCACAGCAGCCTTCAGAGAAACGAGGAGAGAGGGTGAAACCCATTCAGCCAGAATACAAAGGTCAGCAACTTTGTCCAGGCACACACGAAGGGCCAGATTTATTAAGGCTTTTATAATTTCAGAGGACTTACAAAAACCCCCTGAATAGCTTCTTTCAGCACTTTGGTCCCTTTATAAATTTGACCTGGCCTCGTGGTTCTCTTGTGCTCCAGAAATTTGAGTACAAGAGCCCTTTTTTTGGCCAGACTGAGTGCTAGTTCCAATACCCTGATATGCCTGGAAAGGGTCACAATAGTTCCAGTGAAGAATTCAGATCAGAACCCGCAGCTGGCTAACTGCAAAACCCCTGTGCTTTTGAAATTATTCCTTAACTTGGCAAGTAAACCAGTACTCATCAAATCTGAACAGTTAATATCTCCTGAGGCTGAGATTCCTATAGAAGAGTGAGGAGCCAGACTTTACTGACAGCAATAGCAGGGTGACAATTATTCCCATAAAACCCTACTTGCGCTGATACCAAACACTTCTCTTCCTAGAGCAAAATAAACTATATTTGTACAAGGATTTTATCAGCAGCTTTAGGGTCACAGCACCTAGGCACTAGCAAGCTCTTCATGACAATTCAGTTGGGATTGGGATGACAGAACATCTTTAAGGATCCCTGGAGGAAACGTGGGGTGGACTCACCCGAAGAGTTTCCAGGCTTTCCTCAGTCTCGATGATCTGCTGAATGCTGTTCGTGGTAGTGGCGATGACTTTGTCGATGACGTGAACCACTCCGTTGGTGGCATGGTGGTCAGCTTTCAACAGCCTGGCACAGTTCACAGTCACAATCTGCAGAGGGAAAGACCCACGGGGCGTTATATGCACTAAAAGCAGAAGGTAAAGCAGCCTCTGCTGGTTTGCTATTTCACACGCAGCAAGAGCTATAATATTGAATCAGCAGGAGCAGAAATTGTGGTTTCCTAAAAAAACACACAAAGAATGAGAGCGCTCTATCAAGAATGTTTGAAACATTTCATGTTTCATGAGCTTTGAAAATAATCAGTGGTTTTGTCCACCCTGAACGATCAAGACTAAGAAAATACGCAAGAACCAACACTTGGGGAAGCATACTGTTAAACAGTGATGTGGGCAGCTTCCCTGTGATAGCATCGATGGGACTATCTGCTTATACATATTATTTTCTAGTTCCTTCTAAATATGTATACTAAATTGGCTTTAAGCTGAAAGAGGGTAGATTTAGATTGGATTTTAGGAGGAATATTTTCCTGTGAGGCTGGTGAAGCACTTGAATGGGTGGCCCAGAGAAGCTGTGGATGCCCCATCCCTGGAGGGGTTCAAGGCCAGGCTGGATGAGGCTTTGGGCAACCTGGGCTGGTGGGAGGTGTCCCTGCCCATGGCAGGGGGTGGCACTGGATGGGCTTTAAGGTCTCTTCCAACCCAAACCATTCTGTGATCCTATGAAATGTCTTACCCCATTGGGATAGTGGTGAATCTGGATAGGCAGGTCCTGGTACATTGAGTTCAGTGTGGTTCCATGTTTCAGATCATCTGTGAGGACCCGTTTGTTCACCATGTGGTAGCGGAGGGCGTTGAGCAGCTCAATGTTAACGTTACTGACCAAGGAATCCAGAGTTTCCTGAAAATCAGCAAAATCCATTTTTCAGCGCTGAGTACAATAAAGCCGGTTGTTAGAGAGAGCCAGGAGGTCCGGCTGCATCCAGGGCACTTCTAAGGGGTGTGTGTGTGTGTGTATACATTAAGTGATTGGCTGCATCCAGGGCGCTTCCAAGGTGTGTGTGTGTGTGTGTGTATACATTAAGTGATGGATTCAGCCTGAAGTGATCTGCACAAATTAAGAGCTCTAACTTTCGTAAATCTTTATCTTTTGCCTTCTAACAGCAGCTAGCAGCTCTGGCACCCCCATCCATCCAGACAAAGGGATGATGGCAGTAAGCTCGTGTGGGATCACTGCATGGAAATGGACAGAAAGGCAACAAAAGGCATCACTCAGTGCCAGGGACAAATACACCAGGAGACCTTCCCCAACAGCATCATCCCTGCAAGGGGTTCTGCTGGTGCAGGTTTAGAGCAGAGGTTTGGGAGTGGAAAGAGCCAAAAAGATGCTTCCTCCCACCTCAATAGTTATTCTTACGTATTTATGGACAAGGGATTTAAATGTGGGGTGTAACTGAATAGGGGTTGTACCATCGGGACTCTCCCCTGTTCACAGAGATGCTCCACTAGGATCGGAGAACCAGCAGGACAGTGGTGACAATTTCAGGAGTGGAAATTTTGCACGACACAGAGTGAGAAAATCAAAAGGAAATGTATATGTAATTGAGCAGATGAACAGGAAGGCTGCAGGTTTACAGAGGCTCCAGCTGGGTCTGGCTACTTGTGCAAATCATTAAGAACAACCAGAGTCATAAAGCAAGGGTCAATAAGAAAAACCAAATGGGATGGAAAGCCTCTTGCTTCAGGTCTTAACCCAATCTCTAACGGTAAGAGGCAGGGCAAACTGAGTGAGGTGATTTCTACATCCACCCCAACAGAAACCATCCACATCTCCCTAGTGTTGGGCTCTTTCAGAAACAAAGCTCTGGATCTGACAGACCAGTACAGTGATTCCCATGTTGGAAATCCATAGTCCTGCCTAAATCAGGACTGTGTCTATTCTACCAGATGGGGCTGGATCCAGACCCCTGCAGAGCTGGATCTCTGCTACAGAGAGCCAGAGGAAGAGGAAAAAGAAGAAGAATTATATCTTACAGCAGACAAAGATGCCCAGGCCTCATTACTTGGGGCAAAAATTGTAAAACTTCCAGGTCCTTCAATTTCTGGCCTTAGGTTGGACCGGTCGGAGTAGAGCTGCGTGGTGGCAGACCCAACAACTCCCAGGGTTTCATAGATGTTCGAGAGCGGCAGTGCTGAAAGAAGAGAGGGTTATTTTTCCAACACAACATCATTCATCCCTCCCTGCACTGCGCTGAATTAAAGGAGGACTGCTGGGGAGAGTGCTCGGGGAAATGAAGCACGTCAGGGAACTCCTATCTGCTCATTAATTAGATAATAAATAATCATCGCCTGACAGCTCCAGCCTCAATTACAGCAGTGTCGTCCAGGATCTACTGCATCTCTGCAGGTTTAAATGGACTTACTTTGCATTTATATGGATGTGAACTCAGGCAAGCAAAGATATTCATTGCTTTCCCCCAGTCCTTGTCTGTACTCAGGGTTTTGGTGCTCGGAGCTGGCAGCTCACCACCAGTCTCAGTCTCCACTGACCCGTCTGCACCAGCCCATGTGGTTAACTGGGCAGCATCACACTTTTGGGGAAGGAAGCATTCAGAAAGCAAAAGCAGAATATTATCTTTCTTCTGCACTGAACCCACTTAATTCCCTCCCAACCCCCGCCAGTGGCTGAGCTGTATTTTCTCCTAAATGCAATTTTGCTAAACTCGTGCTTGCCAAAATAAAAACGAGCAGAGATTGGCAGAGCTGTCTGCTACTCCATCATTCCTTTGTATTGCATTTCCAACACAGCTATATTACTTGTTGGAGTAAGTAGTTCCCTATGGCCCTTCTATGCTTGATTAAGTTTAATTATATCCAAGATTTTAAGTAGTCTGGAACATTTTCCATGCTTTGGAGCTGATCTGGCACTCCACTGGTGCTCTGCTGAGTCCATTTTTGACCTGCTCATGGCAATATTGTGCACAAATTGCAGAAAAATCAAATCCACTTTGAGTAATTTTCTAACATTTCACTTTACTAGGCAACTGTATGATTATAAGAAGTCTAAAAAATGTCAAACATATTTTTACCAGCTGGGCAGCCTTTTTCTCCAGGAACTTTTTCATATCCAGGACAGCACTCGTAACTGATTACTCTGGAATAGGAGATGGATACGGCAGATTAACTGATGGTGTCTCACTGCTTTTTCTCTGTTCTATAGTTCTGTGTCCACCCATATTTGGTGATGTTTCTAACCAGACTCTTCATTAGAAATAGAGACTTGAACAAAAGACAAACCACAATTTTTATCTCCTTCAGGACTGCACATTGCCAGTTCCTCCAAAGAACAAAAGCAGGCACAATTCCTTTTCAAAACCACACTTTCCAGGAGACTTTATACAAACAGTGGATGGAAACTGATGCCACCACCCCAACTGATAACCTACACAAGATGCTGCAAGTGCTGGTTCATTTGGGCACAGCTCCTGGGGAATCTGGGGATCTCCCCAAATGACTGTTGCTGTCACGTCTAATCATTGTTTGGGAAACATGCTGCAACTCCAGCATGGATGCTTCATCAAACCAGACAAAGGTTTCCCCTTCGTTTCACCCCATTCTTGTCCACCACCAGAAATTATTTGCTTATTTTCAGCAAAATCCACAAGAGAGACCTGGAGGGGAAGGAGCATCCCTGGTCTTGGCTGCACTGGCACAAGGGCTTGGGATAAGCCCTGCAAGGACAAACTTCACTGGTGGTGGCACATGTGTCCATGGGCACCCTGGGCAATGCCGCAGCACGTCCGTCTTTGCTAACACTGGATACATCGATGTGATCACCCTCAGTACAGCATTTCCTTCTGGCTGGCAGCAAACAGCTGCTCTGATTGAGCACCAACCCACAGTAAATCCAAAGGGGCCAGAGACCCCATCCTGGGAAGCTGGGGCCATCCTGCAGGCTATGTCCATCGTCTGCAGCTCAATGGGTAATAAAAGTCATCTGTTTCTCAAAGCTGGTCAGTTAATGGAATGTGTCTCGATACTAACAGGGGAAAAAAAAAAAAAAGGAAAAAAAACAATCCAGAAGTTGCCTGTTTATTTTTCACATGGGGTTCTGTTGCCTATTGCTGCTACGTTTGGTGTGAAAGGAGCAAGGCCATCTGGTTGATGGGCGAAGGAGAGCGAGGGAATAGGTGTTCCCCCCAAAGACAAGCGTTTTCTCTGTGCTCCCGGTTGGATTCGAGACAAGCAGGATGCTGTATCGGCGAGCCTCAGTGCTCTCACTCAAAGAGAAAGCAAAATCCTCAAGCTTCAGATATTTGTCATCATTTTAACACTGTTAACAAACAGTGGAAATGCCTGGGGTTTAAGAGGGAATTCTTCAGGGTAATTAAGGGCCAGTAAGTGAAACAAATACCTGGTTTTCTGTGACAGAAGCAAATAAATTCTGTGTGACGGTTTCCTAAGAGAATTACAAAGCAAACCCAGACTGATTGTCTAGACATTATATATTCCATGTGATTTGCCTAAAGCAATCCCTTCCTTTGACTACTGGAGATCTTAACACCCTGCTGCTCTGCTTTCCCCAGCCCCCCCAGCTCGTGTTCATTAGAAACACACACTTTCTCCCCCCTCGCCACCTCCCTCCTCTACCTCCAATTTTTCTTTATTTCACCCTAGAAACTAAATCCAGTCTAGACAGTTCCCTCGGTTCAGCCCTGTAATCAAAGACGAAGAGCTGATTAAAGAGAAATCATTCCAAAGTTCAGCATAAATAATTCCTGAGCGCTGACGTAGGCTTTAAAAGGCTTATTTATAGATCGATCGGAGATTAATGAGCTGTGACGAAGGGGCAGGACACCGATGCACACAGCGCATGGGGCTGTCCCAGCAGCCAGGCGCCGGCTGGGAGGGGAGGGCACTGGGAAGGGATGGAGGGACCTCACTGGGCTTGCAGGCATGTCCAGCACCACCTGATAATGGAAACAAATGGCAAGAAGCACCGAGGCCAGTAATAGGACCAGCTCCACCCATGCCTTCAAGCCCCAAGTCTCGCTCACCCACTGAAGGTGACCTACCAGCATCACCTGGGATGCATTTGGCATCCCAGAATTTTGAGTTGAGTACTAGAAAACTTCTGCAAAGTGCCAGGTGAACATAGAGGTGCTCAGCCAACTGTTTGCACCTACAAGGAGCCAGAGATGGGGACTGTATCAACCAGCTTCACCCATTTGCCCTCCTGTGGCTGGTGGACTCAGTGGAAGCACAAGACCACCCAGTCCACCCAAAGGCACGTGGGCAGCATCCAAGGGGTCACCTGAATGGGGCATCTTCCCAGTGGGTCCTGGAGCCACCTCCAGCCCTTGGGGAGGAGCAGCAGAGCTGTGGCTGAAGGCTGCTCTGCCTCTCTTGCAGGACTCTGCATCTCGATGGTAGGGTACCCTACACATCCATATGGGAGGAAGGCTGTGACATGTCTTCCTCCAGTTGGGTTGGAGCCACATTCTGCCGCCTGGGGAGAAATATTCCTTTTCCATGGCCAGGGGAAAACAGCTCATGGGAGAAAACACTGAATGCTCGCAACCACCACACCATGCGTCAGGTTCTGCACAAAAGCCTTTGGAGTTGCCAAGTCCACCCCGTTCCTGGTGTCTGCTCAGCAGATACAGACCACTGCGCCAGCACACGGCTGGTGCCAGCCATGGGGGTTAAATAAGCGATGCCCTCCTGCAAAGAGCATTTGTCATCCACTCTGCAACGCCTCTGGCCACAATTTCCTGACCTCCTCAGTGAGTAGTTTCCAGCCTCTGGTTTTGAAACACCCTATTTCTCAAATGTCTATCTGAGTCTGACTGCAGAAGCAAGCTCCCTGGCTTTTATTAGTCATTGTTGCACTGCTGTTGCATTCTTAGGATCTGAAATTAAATTTTAAGTGCATTTTTTCAAGGTAATAAAAATAAGCTTAGGCATATATTAGTGAATAAAGATCCATTTGTAATAATTTCCTGTAATAAAACCCATATGTTTTGTTTTTGTAAAATAAGTGCCAGAGAGTCAATTTTTTTTTTTCCTGAACTGAGGAAAGTACATCAGACAAGAACAGGAAAGTTAATTTAAAAGGAAAAAAAGTAACGTATTAAGGGGCAACTTACTGCCACTAGTTAGTCCCCCAAAAATAATCAAAAACCAAATTTATGTAAGTTGTCTTTTCATTCTTAATACAAAAATGTGTGTGGGGACACATCCAATTGCAACCCCAGTTCTGGAAGAATGAGTCCAGTGCATCAGGGAAGGTAGAAAAATAGAAAAAACACAGGCAGAACTATAAAAATATGGTCTAAATAAACTATTTCTTTGGCTTTGGAATAACCAACAGTGGAAAATTACCTAATTATCAAACCAATCTTGTTTCAGTGCTCATTAAAATCAAAGCAGTGTCAGACTTTTTGCCAACTGTCTTATCTCACTTCATCAGCAAGTAATGCAACGATAAAAAACGTACATAAATCCTCTATCTAATTTCTCCCTAACTGCGTGAGCCAATACTTCAGCAAAGAGAAGTAAAACAAAGGAAAAAAAGCAGATAAAGAGGTAAGACTCCTCTTCTGAAGCGTGAGCTGAAATTTCCACTGTGTACATCCAGCCCCAGTGAAGCACTCCATCCCCATGGACCAAAAGATGCTGCTCAAGAAGGAAGCCTGCAAATCCCCACCCCCAAGCCTCTGCTGTAACCTGTTTGTCCTGGTGAGAGCTATGGAACAACCCAGCCCAGTGCCTGCTGCACCCCAGGGTGACCGTGAGCACTCTCAGCCCCGAGCCTGGAGCAGCGACTGAAGGTGATGCACCTGCACACAAGAGTAAAGACCAAGCACATCTGTGTCTCCCAATGCAGGATGCGATCACCCAAGAAGGAATGAAGTCATGATGGACTGCTACAGGCTTGCGGCAGCTTTTTTGCCTTCCTTGCTCAGGGTGGAACTGCTCTGCCCTGAGCCAGCTCTGCAGGAGCTCAGCTTTGCTCCTCTGCAGTACCCGCTCTCTCACTGACCTCCCTCCCTACTGCCTGTTTGAAACAGTGCTCAGAGCAGGACAAGAAAAGAAACCAAAACGGTCAAAACCATATTCCAAGGGCTAGGTGCTTGCACTTGCAACATGCATCCAGCTTGTGGCACCACTGACCCTTTAAGCAGACACAGAGGTTAACAGCCAGGACAAACATGAAGTAGGTGAGATGGGTCAAGCATCTTCTACCCCAGGACTGCTCTTCTCATGGGTGGGAAACGCCTTTTAGGAGGAAGAGAAGAAATGACCATGCTTATCCAGATCCACCATCCCCCCTGGGGTGATGGAGTGGGTCCCCCTGCCCATGCGAGCACCAAGCACACGGCTTCAGGAGAGGAACCTGACTACAGATCCCAAGCACAGGCTGCATCCACCCAGTTGTGCTGATGAACACGCCAAATTCTGCCTCTTTCTGGGATTTAAAGGTATCTGGTGTTCTCAAAACCTCTCATGGACCAGCTCAGCCCCATGCAACGGGCCAGTTTCGAGGGCCCATGCAGAGCACCGATAACGGTGCCCAGGCACTCTCTCAGGCACCGTGGCACTGAGCGCGGCGCAATGTCAAGCCCCTGACCCTGGTTTAAGAGTCTGCGGCAGAATAACGCATCACATCCTTCACGGCCTGAACCACTCCTGATTGCTTCCATACACCAGGAACACCACGTCCAGCGGGAGCCATCACCAGCCAACGTTTGTAATTAGAGCTGTCCCAGGGTCTGCTGGAAAATGTGAGGCAAGGCACGTGTCTTTTGTTCTGCATGAGCACTACTAAAGGGCAAAGTAGGGCCCAGGCTCAAAAATGACAAGGAAGAGAGAAGAGGACAATAACACCCATTGTCAAGATGATGCAAAGCGAAGAATAGTGGTCAAATTCCATGTATAATGGGAACATTATCTCATAGGTTAACAGGCAGGTTAATGGTGTGTGTGCTTTTCTCTCAGCAATGCATCATTGGATTAGACACTTGGGTAAAAGCAGGGAAAATGAGGTTAGAAGAGATCACTCCATCTCCTCAAATGAAATCATGAAATACTGCCAGATGCCAGCTGTTCCACCTCTTTCTGGAGATAAGCAGATGAGTTTGTCTCTGCCAAATACAGCTGCACACTTGGGTTACTTGAGGTTAGTTTCTCATTTGCCTCAGAACTGAAAAAATCCATGGCTGGATCGCTTTGCCTTTCAGTGACTCCAACAGCAAAGCCATCCCACACCCACAGCTGAGTCATGTTTGCTTTGGAGACCTCTTAAGCTACTCTGTTATCAGCAGAGGCAATGATGATACCATACTGCCATGCCATAATCCTGTCTATTTTACGTCAAAAAAGCCACCATTCGGCCAAGATGAGAGCCTGAACTCGAATCACCCAAATTAAGACACATGAACCAAATCCCAGTGGCCAGCCATCACAGCTAAACCAGTGAAGGCAACCAAAATAAAAGCAATATGGGTTACCACAGTTCAAGATCTCAAAGTCTGCCATTGACAGAGTTTATTTCATCTGCAGTAAAGAACAGCATGTTCCTATAGATCTCATTACAATTTACATTGGACCATACCAGAAACACATGAGATGATTTTCTGCTGTTTGTTCTTGACCCTGCAGACCCAGGACCAGACCTGTCCCACAGCTCTGATCCCCATGGCCAGCACTGTTCCGGGCATCTTTGCACTGATTTTGGGTAACGTGGCGGTGCGTGCTAAAGTCTGGACCAGCAAACGTGTCTGAAAGCCCAGTTTGGCCAATGTCAAGGAAAAAGATTCTCCGCTCCCGATCTACAGCCTGGCAGATAGTCAAGCATACATATCCTTAATTATCTGCTGACTACATCTTTCAAAAGAATGTCCCGAGGCTGCTTACCCAGATATTTTACGCAACAGCTACTTGAATATTATTGTTTGCAATTTTAGACGTGGAATTGGCCTGCGAGTCTAATTAACTTTCCTGGTGGAGTCACCAGAGAGTGTTGGCTAAAACTGACACCTCTTTCCACTTATTTGTTTTCCTTTCCAAAGCAAACATATGTAGATGAATTTTACGTTCTCTCCAATATCCATCAGCTCTGGGTTGCCTTTTCCCCCCCCCCCTTTTTTTTTAAACCTAGGCAGCATTGAGCCCAGCATGGAGAGAGACACAGCTAAGTACTAGAAAACATCTGGTATGCACTTCATTACCACTCTGAGAGCTATATAAGTATATACAGAAATGCAATCAGAATAAACCATCAGGGTTTGATTTACATGGTACTTTCCATTCTTAACATCTAAGTGTCTGAGGATCTTGTTTGCCATTTGAGCAAAACCAAGGCACAAGTATTTCTTTGGGAGTAAAAGGCTAAAACAATTCTTAACATGTATACATGTTAAACCCATGCCGTGGGCTCTGGCATCTCACATCTGCTTCTCCCACCCAGCACCCATCCCCGCAATGGGGTCTTCAGGGAGATCCTGGCCGGCGCTCAGGTACTTACGTTGACTTCCCGCAGATCTTCCTCTGGTACCACTGCTTGCAGTTGGTGAAGTATTTCCTGTTGGTGCCGATCAGCTTCTGCACCGCACACACGTTGGGGCTACAGGTAACGACAAAGTAGAAGAGGGTCCTGTGAGCCTCCCTCCTCTCAGTGCTGACCCCCAACATGGAGCCAGAGCCCACCTGAGAGCACCCCAAAAGCCCTGCTGGGTTTGCAAGGGAAGAACCTTTGAGAGCTGCAAGTCAACTTGCTTGATCTGAGTGTATAATGACTCTCATCAAGTGGAGGAAGCAGTGAAAGAGATCTCTCCTCACTCTGCCAGGGCATCTTTTTCTTCAGTGAGTGCAAAATCTTGACTTTTTTGCATGTTCCATCTCTCCCCAAAATATAAAGAAATTAAATTAAAAAAATAACACTTTGGTCAGTATTCTAGGGTGAGCAGCTACTTACAATTTGGGATCCTGACAAGGTTATGCAATATTTCAAATCCTTCCCCAAAAAAACATTATTTTATTGTTTAGGACACAAAGAAGGACAGATATTTATCAGCCCATGGACTGACTTGCACCAAGACCAGAACAGATACTTTCTCATACTTTTGTATGACAGATTCAACCTATTCTGGACACGGATGCTGAGCTGCTGATGGGAAAAATGAGCAGTGGCACTGCCCACTCCATTTCCAACCCAGCAGGTATGACAGCACGGATCGACAGTGGCTATATCATCCCATAAGGTACTGAGAGCTCCTTCTCAATGAGAAAAGCAGACGGTTGGCGTGACATGTGTAACTAACCCTGCTGAGAGCTGACTGCAGCCTTTCAGCTTTCTAAGAAGTGGTATCACTGCAAGCAAAGATGTGGTTAAACAGGAGCTGGGAGTTTACTTGCTGCTGGTTTGGCCAGCACAGCATCTCCCCGCTCAGCCTGGCTCACCATCTCTGTGGTTTGTGGCCAGCAGCCCTGGCCAGGGATGTGGGCAATGCACGGTCAGTGCCTGAGATGTGATTTATGGATCTGGGTTGCGAGGCTACCAACTGTGTAGCAAAAGCCCAAGCAAGCTGAGGATGCTCAGCCCAGCTGAGACTGGATTCCCAACACCAACACCATGCCCTGGTTGTGGCAGCAGCACCAAAAGTATGTGCCATAGCGGCTTCCAGGGAGATGGGGGGGAAAACAAAGAATTAAGCAACTTAATCATCAATTCAGCCCATCGGAAGTGCTGTGCACCATCCAAGGCAGAGTTTTCATTTGCACAAATGAAACTCTATATGGGGCCTGGAGATGCTGTTGTAAAGGTCTTGTTGATCTGTTTAGGAAAACAGACAGCAGCCCAGTTCATGCTGGGTTTGACCGAGACGCTGCCCGCTTGCCTACCAAAATTAACAAAAGCAGAGTTTGCAGCCTGATGACCAAGTCTTTCTGTGGTCATGCTTGCTTTTCACCAGCATCCCAAATTCATCTCTTTCCAAAACTGGCCAGCCTGCCCATCATTAGCATGAATTAACGTGAGGGTCTCCTATATGTTGGCTAACTCCAGCGCCAGTCCCAGCGGGAGCTTGGCTTGCCGTCAAAGAGCCTTTGTTGGTGTGGCTGCTGCAGGGCTCTGCAGAGGCAGGATCCAACCCTGCGTGGCCCTGGCATCTTCATCCTGCCCCAAGGGGAAAGGGAGGGCCCAGGGGACCGGATTAGCCTCGCCCTGTCCCTTGTTACTGCCATATCCAGTAACGGTAGTTTTTTTCTGCACAAAAGCATTTAATTCCCTTTATACATATATAGGGAGAGGGATGAGGAGAAAGAATCTGCTGAAAAAAAAGTTAGAAATCACAAAGCCAAACTTTCAGCTGGTGCAGACTGGCCCAGGCTCAGTCACTTCCACGCCAAATCATCGCTTGGAGAGACGGCTGCGCTCTCTGACTCAGCCCACCTCGGCTACCCCGGCCCCGCCGCGCCGAAATCTGGTTCCAATTACAGCGAAATTCCAAACCTTGCCTCGATTTCAGCGTCTGGCTGACGGCAGTGGACAATCCCTCTAATATTCGTCTTGACAAGCCTGGCTACTGAAGGACTTGTTTGATCACTTCCCTCGTATCCCTGGGAGCAGCCTGCCAAGAAAACCCTTGCGCCTTCGGGACAGCATCGAGCCCGGCACTGCCTTGCTTCACGGGGCTGCTGCTCCCTCCCCGACTTATCAGGGGAAACTTCTTCCCAGTTTTTCCTCCGTGCAGAAAAATCCCCCCTTCCCCAGGGCTGCGTTATCAATGATTCCCACAGGCAGGCTGTAGTAGCAGCTCCCTGCGGTGCGTGTTCTGGTCCTTTGCCCAGTCTGGCTTAAAATGAATTTGTCAACACTCTCCCCTCTCCTCGTTGGAGTTCATCACCTCTGCCATGCCGTTCCCAGCCAGCCGCGCTGACTCGAGGATAAAACTGCCTATTGTTCCCCTTCAGCTGAAGCCTTCCACTTGGCAGGCAGCAGCTGGGAGCTGCTGGGGCTGGGGCTGCCCTTTGGGAAGGGACAGAGAGGAGCAGAACCTACCATCCAGCTCCAGCTACCTGCCATGACTCTGGCCATGAAGGTCCCCAGCCCACAAAGCCAGGTGGGTTTGGGGACAGTGCTCCTAGGTTTTCATCTTCCAGTGTTCATGTTTCTTACATACTTCCCTCACAGACTTGAGCTGATTCACTTAAAAAAAAAAAAGTTAATGAAGATGTACAAGTCTTGCTGCAGAGCCAAGCTCTGCCACCCAGCTCGCTCTGGGCTCAATGGCAGCATTGACGGTGGGGGGGATGCTCGCAGCAGAAAGGGTGGCAGTCCTGGCTGCACATCCCTCCTGGGCTCCCTCCTGCAAGCAAAACAACACGCCTCACATCCAAGGGCTTTGGGGGCTGGTTTTGTGTTGCTGTATCTCTTTGGCACGTCATTAATCAATGTTCGAAATGCAGTTGGTGTTTAAAAATGAGATTGGTGTAAACTGCTCTCTCCATCACAAAGGGAGCAGTGAGCAAAGTGCTGGGGTTGGATTTATCTCGGTGTAACTTCACTTTGTCTGGAAAGCCTGGAGTACTAATTCCTTGCATCTCGCAAAGATCTCAGGCACCAGACCGCAATCACATCTTACCCTCTGCCTCTATTGATTGCACAGGGAGCAACAGGCTGCTCTCTGCAGAGATGAGTGCACTGATTTACACCAGGGCTGCAGGAACCTACAGAGTCTCAGCAAACTTTTGCCTCAGGGCTATGAGCACAATTGGGTATTTACTTAGGTTCAGATCATGGAGAGATGAAGAACCAGACTCACTGTATTTGTGTGTAAATCGCTGTCATTCTTTCATTACTGAGAGTTTACAAACAGGCATCAGCTCAGAATTTGTCTGTTGGATTCTATTGCTGAAAAGCCACATAAACAACACACCCTGTTTCATAAATACTGACCTGGATCCCTGCCAGATAACGTATAAAATTGCAATATTTAAGTCTTGGGTCTTTTTAAAAGCATTTCATGACCCTGCCTTCAGCACTCCATTTAAATGGAAGCTACAGTTCCATCAGTGACGAAAGCCAGCTGAAGCGTCTGTCATCCTTCATCCTTCCCAAGTCCCAGGAAGTTTTAAAAACAGTGAGAACAACTACCAACATTGGGTTACTTTTTTATGTATCAATGAAGACTCAAACTACTCAGTCCATAACACCTAGCGAGACAGGTCTACATGCATTTTTTTGGATATTCCTTATCTAAGAAAGTTTATGAGTAAATCAGTGATTACTTTTGTCAAGAAAACTTTCAAGACTTACTGGGGGTCCCAGTCAAGGAGTAAGCTGGTGCTTACTCCACAGCCATACTCCTCTGCCATTGAACCAATTTTCTTTCCTTTTTCTACAAATTCATGAAACTGAGAACACCTTCCACAAAATGTTTAACCATTCAACTTCTGGGAACTTTTTTTTCCCCCCCTTGTTCCTTAATGGGGATAGACTGATAAAGAATCACTGAGAGGATCTAAAATAATATCTGCAATATTAAGCATCCTGAAAGAAAGAAAGAAAGTTATCCAAGGAAGAAAGGGGGAAAAAAAAAAAAAAAAAAAAAGTGACTCGAGGATGAAATAAAAAAGTTTTTCTCCCAGGAATCAAGCACCCAGCCAGGGATGTGCCGCACCGGCCCCGGGGGCTCCGCCGACCCCGCACAAAGAGCCGGGGGACCCTCCGGAGCCGCTCATTCCCCCCCTTAATTTTTTTTTCCCCTGGGGG